GTCCTTGGCTACCACTCTCACCTTCATGATCCAAATAGACATTTAGGTATCCCTTTTCGCTTCGACTATATCGCATACTGTTTTCTCGCGAGTGAATAAACCCTTCATCTTCCCCAAACTTGGTGCGAGAAACCTCCTCGTATTCGTCGTCGCGTTCACACCCGTGAGGCTGGTGCAGGAACGCGGCGTCGCGTCCCTCTCGCTTCAAGAACGTTCGTGAGCTGGTTGAGAATGTTTTTGCTGGTTGTGCAAGTTTTTCGTAGCCGAGTGGCGTATCCCAGTCAGTCTCCTCGCCTTGCGCCTTCACGTGTCCCTGGGTAGAATAAGCAAGTTTGCCGTGTCTAAAAAACGATCGAGTTCCTGCCATCCCTTCTTCTTCTACTTCTTCTTCTTCTTCCCCTGAGCACTCGGCTTCTGATTCGTCTTCCTCTTCATGTTCCCCATAAGCTCTATTACTCGAGACCCCTATGTATTCCACAGTGGCCCTATTGGAGTCGTGCACCGCAAGCGGGTCGTCCCTGAGAGTTCCCCATCCACTGTGCTCAGCCAATAATTTATCTGCTTTTCGATCAGAACCAGGTCCACCACGAGCGCTTGGTACTTGTGTTAATGTGGGTGTGGCTGATACTGGCTCTGACACTTGATTAGGGGGTGTTAATGTGGCACCATCATCACTATTGCTCATTGTTTCATGTTTCACGATGGTCTGGGACGAATCGAGTATTCGCCGTCGTCGTGGGGGCCTTGAGAATTGCTGAGATGAGGGCTGGTCAAGGGTAGGTCGCGAGGATGGGTCGCGCTGCAAGGGCGACGCGGTAGACTGGACCCATGGAATATCTAGCAAAAGGTTCGTCTGGGAGGATGGAGGTGGTGTTAGGGGTGTGTGGTGGTGAGTTTGGTCTGGGGCTAGCGGTGCAACACCACTAGCCGCACTGACAATCGAATTATCCTCAGCGGCCGTGTAGACACTACCGAACCCTGTTCTTCTTCTCTTCCTACTATTCTCTATTTCCTCCCAAAGCCATCCCAATTTGTCCGTTAGCCTAGCCACCACCTCGTCCTCCTCGCCTAATAACCCCTTGGACGATGATGGGCCAAGGTCACGACCGAGCCCAAACCCACGCGTCGTTACGAAAAGGTCAAAGGAAGCTCGTACGAGCCGATTCCATAAACCGAGCGAAACGAGTCCGTCGGCATCGATACTGAGCTCCAACGGTCGTTCGAGGCCGGCCGCGTCCTCTCTTTGAGTCTGCGGCCGTTCGAGCCCTCCACGACCTGCACGGTGGCCCTCGTCCTCGTCGCCCGCCATTACTCCTACTATGGCATCAGGGTAATCAGATGCACCCTCTTCCTGCAAGAGCTCGGAACTTTCCAAACGCCTCTTCATCGCGTCTGATAGCACGTGTATGCGACTCGACAACCTGGTTTTCCAGCCGGCCGTCGACCACGCATTCCCAGCGCCGACGCCTGCACTTGCACCACCACCTCCTGAGAATGTTGATCTGACATTCACGTCATGAATTCTATACTCATGTTGTTTGACAGGAGCGGTGCTATTGCCCTTGCCCATCATAGTCGTGCTATTGTGCACTGACAGAGGCGTTTCATTCAGTGTGGGTGTAGGTCTCGTTATCTCGTTGGCTGTGCCAGATTGCAAAGGTAAATTGTTTACCTTGAACGGATCTGTTGCATCATTGTCGATGGCAGGCGAGGCGGTGGTCCTCTCGGAAGGGGATTGCCAGCCAAATGGGGGTTTCATCTCGCCTGGCCCAGATTCGAATTCGTCCCAAAGACCGAAAAACTCTTTGAGAACAGAAAGAATTTCATCTTCTTCAAACGTGATGACATCTCGAGCGTTTCCTTCAATGAGAAATCCATAACGACATAGCAAATCCACATTGCTGATGCCGCGCGAGTCATACGTATTGAACACTTCTTCACCTTCTTCAATACTACGGTTCGCCACCATGTCGTACGTGTGCTCAATCGTGCCACCACTG